CCGGCCCGGGGCCCTGCCGCCGGACGGTACGTAGCCGGAGCCGCGCGGCACCGCCGCGGGCAGCGGGTGGTGTGGTGGGGAAGAGGGGTGCTGGCGGCACCCCGGTGCATGTGGCAGGTCCGTGCGCTCCGAGCGCTCCCGGAGCCGCCGGCTCGGCTCCGCAGGCTCGGTGCCTCCCGAGCATCCCCGTGCTGAATCCCACGCTGCCGGGCGCCCTTCCCGGAGCAGAGCCCCGAGGGCAGCCGGGTTGTGCCGCTCGCGCTCCCATCCGGAGCACGCAGTCGAGATCGACTGTCACCCCATCCCGGCACCTCCACCCCCTGGCAGTTCCCTGGGTCCCTTCCGAGCGCGGGATCCATGAGGGTGCTGGGGTTTGGCAGCGGCAGGGCAGCGCGTCCCGAGCGAGCGCCGTGGGGAAGACAAAAGCCCCCAGGTACCCGGGGACGGCGAGGACGCGCCGGGCGGCCCGTAGCGCCCGCGAGCAGCCCCGGCCGGGCCCCGAGCGGCAGCTGCCTGGGAGCGCTGCCCTCGCGCAGCGCCTTTGTGTTGAAAGCACTGGCAGCTCCTGCGCATCGGCGCGCGAGCCGGCGTGGCAGCGACCTGCCCGAGAGGGTCGGAAATTGCAGGGAAAACGGGCAGAATTCCTTGGCTGTTCCCGAAATGCTTTCAAACGTTATGCCAGGAGCGTTCCCGTCCTCCCGCCGAGGGCGGCGGCGAGGCCGTTATAGCGATAGCCGCCCGACGCACCCGTCAGTCCTGGCTCTAAATATAGACCTAGCGCTAAATCCGTCCTGCCTTTTATTTACAGCTACATTGCTCATTCGCATCCCAATAGGCTCCCTCCTCGCCCGCCTCCGTGCCCGCTTTGCGGGGCTCCTTCCCAGAGCGTCCTGGCCAGCGGTACCTATTGTATCTGATATAAATATTACCTATTCCTGTCTTTCTGTGCCCAGTTTGCTGCCAGCTCTGCGTGCTCGCTGGGAGCTCAGCCCTTGCAGCAGCGCACAGCAGGTTGTGCCGCTTGCCAAAGCAGCACCTTAAATATTCTTGAGAGAATTGCCCAAGAATTGAATTATTTGCGTAGCTTCCGACTTGAATAACCTAAGAGCCCGCGAGGGGAGGTGTCCTTGGTGCTGCTCCGCGCGGGCTGCTCGCAGCCCGATACTCGTTTGATCTCACGATGAGCTAAATTGCAGCGTAGCGGTGTGCGGGAAGGGGCCGTTCGCGGGCGCTCCGGGCGGGCAGAACAAGGCGCCCCGTTGAGGCGCGCTCGGTGCCACCTCGTCCATTGTGCCGCACATCAGCGGCGCGCCCGCCCCGCGCAGCATCCGCCTTGGGGACGGGGCACCGCTAACGAGGGACCTCGCCGGGCGAGATCGTTAGAAAAGCAGCTTTAATTAGCGGAGGAGGAGCAGCTGAGCGGGGCGCAAGGGGCCCGGGGCAGCGCGTGGGGCTCCCCGCGCGCTCGCGAGGGCTCCGCACCGCGTTCGCGGCGCGATGCAAGGAGCACAATCCGCATTCGTTGTGACACGCGGCGCACCGTGGTTTAGGCTCCGCTTGGGAGAACGGGGTCTTTGCAGTCAGGACTTGCTTTCTCGGGCGAAGATAGAGAGCCCCGGCAGGGCGAGCTGGGCTTGTAAGATGGAGGCACGGAGGACATCTGCTTCGCTGCCTGATTCCCCGCAAGGAGCCGAGAGGCGCGCGTTGAGCGAGTTGCGCCGTGTGCCAGATCAGCGCGGAGCAATTCCCTATTTGGGTCAAGAGGGAGACATTTTCGTTAGGCTTTCCTGCGGGGGTTAACGCTTGGATTTCTCTTTAAACTGACTTTTTATATCTGGGGATACTGCTGTGTGGAGAGGCTCGTACAAAAGGGGGTTGATTGCCTCTCCGCGGCGTTTCCCCGCCGAAAGCCGCGTGTGACGCGCTCCCGTTCTGTCCCCAAAATTGTTTACGGCTAAGAGGGAGAGTAAAGACGGCCCCTGCCTCGTTCCTTAATCTAGCTCTCTTAGCGGATTTTGGGTTGATGCCTCTAATCCCCATGGGAATTAGGGAGCTGCCGCAGGGAGGGAGGGATGTTTTAGGTCAGCGTGGCCTCGTTCGGCACCGCGAAGCCTCCTCCGTCCTGCAGTGATGCTCACAGGTGAAATGAAGACACCCCAAGAACCTGGGTCCAGCCTAGGGGTCCAGCTCGCCCAGCTGCAGAGCGGCCACGCTCCGCGTCCCAACGCGCCTCCTTTATTCTTGGGTAACTCCCCTTCTTTTAGGGGCCTTGGAGGAGCGGGCAGCCCGTGCCACGAGTGGGGCTGAGCCTCAAATTTGCTCAGAATCCTCTCAGACGCCCGGCTTCGTGAGTAATTAAGGTCTTAATTATCACCAAACCTCCGGGTTAATCAAGAGTCGGGCGGAGAAGTTGAGCTAGCTCCCGAGCTTCTTTGATCTCGGTATTTAAAGCTGGGCCAGGTGGGCTGCAGTGCTGCCCTGCGAGGGGCTCGTGGTGGGAGCTGGAGGGGGAATGGTCCTGTCAGCTGCAACGGGGGCAACTCTGCCAAAAATTGGCTTGTTTTAAAATGTGGCAGGCAGAAATTGGTCAACTTTGTACCTGAAGCCAAGAAATGCAGGGCTAAGAGCGCGGAGGGCCTCTCAGTGGATGCTGTAGCCAGAATCACAGGTGTGTTCAGGTCTTTAGGTGATGAGGGAGAGCCAGAAAGGGCTCTTTGCCCTAACTGTTGTGATCTAAAGGAGCAGAGCGGGCCCTTTGCCTAGCACGGAGTTGAGCGTGGACCGTAGCTTGGAGCTTCTGGCCACTTGGGAGGCTCAGTGTTGGTGCAGATCACCTTTTTCTGCCCATTTTGATAACTCGGGGATCTTTATGGATCAAGTCTTGCTCCCGTTGGCTTTGTCTCGACCAGAGCATCTCGTGGGCCTTGCTGGCCGGACCCTTCACCCACCCATGGCAGATACCTGGGTCCTGGTGACACAGTTACCCCACACGATGCTTTTCACCTCGTTGCCGTGGCGTTTTCCCCTGCTGAACCCCTATGTACTGCCTGGCCGGGGGTGCCCACGCCACATTGGCCCTGCACCACCCCGCGCTGCCTAATGAAGAAAATTAATGAGGGTTTGGCAGCTTCTGCTGCTGTTGCCCATACCCAGCAAGGCTCCGTGGCAGCTCCGCGCCCGGCAGGGATGCTCCGGGATGTGCAATTAGGTGGTGAATGAAGCCAATGTCCTCAGGAGCGTGTGGGGGGTCCCTCACTGTCCCCCCGTCACCCTCGGGGTTATGTCCCCGCGGGCATCGGGAGCCACAAGAAGTGCAGCCCACGGGACGGGCCTGGCCACGTTCCCACCCGGATAGCCTGCGTTCCTTGTGATATTGAGAGCAATAATAACCCCAGCTGCAGCAGCACGGTGGGGCTGTGGCCCCGCAGTCTTGCAGCTCGTTTTTCTCCAAAAAGCTGGAATTAGCTGAATTAGCTGAAATAGTAGTAGCCATCGGCAGCAGGGGACAGGTAGCTGGAGAGTCACCTTGGAGGCTCTGATAGCTGAGATGTGTGGAGGATCCGTGGGGAATCTCTGGGCACGGGAAGCGAGGAGCAATGGGAACACAAAAAATCACTATTTGCTACCGGGAGCTCTTGGCCACTTTTTCCAATATTGGTACGGATAAAATGGGCAAATTAAATGAGAAAAAAAAAAAGGTGTGTTGAAATTCGGTGGAGAAAACTAATTTAGAGAAGCTGGTAGAGATTATCTGTGGGAAAAAAAAGGACTTTCTAGATGAACAGGAATGATCCTTGAGCCTTCAGAACAATCACAATTATTAATTCACACACAATTCACCATTTCACCACAATTATTAATGTGCAGCCTGGGCGTTTCTGTGCTCCTTTTCTTCAGGAGTCTTTTTGTGTATGTGCAGGACATTAAAGGCAATGCTGCACAACGTTTAGTCTGACTTGGAAGCCAAGTGCCCAGGTAGAAGCTACGGCAATGCAAGGGAAAAAGCTGCTCAAACTTATCAGGGAGGCCAAAAATATGGAAAAATACCAAAAAAAACCCCAACCCACGCAAGCCAGCCTCGGTTGTGCACCCCGCAAAGTGTGGGGGTGTCAGTGGTGCTGTCTGCAGGAGCTGCTGCATCAAAATATCCCCCCGGGGTTAGCGACCGGAGCATAAACGCTGAAATTTAGCATAAAAGCCGAAATTTAGCAGCTCTCCCCCGTTTGCTCTGCAAAAGGCCTTGGGGACGGGCAGCTCTGCGGTGCCCTTTGGGGCGGGCGCTGCTCCGTGCTGTGGGTGCCGGCGGCAGCGGGGTGGCCTCGCCGCCGTGTCCGCAGCATCCCGGCGCTCCCGGAGCCTCTCCCGAGCAGCCAGCCCGGCACCGTCCCGCTGCTGCCTCCTCCTCTTCCCGCATTAACAATAATCAAAGCAATAATATAAAGGAGCCCGACCAAAAACGCCTCAATTTAAGAAATCTCCCGTTTTCTCTTGGCAGCCAAAGCAGGAGAGAGCAAGGCCGCGGAGGTGGCGGCCGGGAACGACATCAGCCCACCTCCCACCAAGGAGCTTCCGCCGAGCCCCGAGAAGAAAGCCAAGGTAGGAGCTGCTCCCTGGCCCCGCGCTCCCTTCCTGCTTTTAATTTGCCCGATTTTCTGCTTTTTACACCGTGGGTCCCCCCTTCTGCTTTCTGAGCTGCCGCTTGGGAGCTTTCGCTCGAACGAAGGCTGTGGGTTGCGAGTCGCAAATAACTCAGCCCCTCGCTGATCTGATTGCGGAGGGACTGCCTGAATTGATGATAAGGGCCTGAATTTCTGATAAGCTTTTATACAAGCGGTGCTCTGCTCGGGGCCCGGCGTGCGGAAGGAGGAAGCGCGGCGAGTGGCGCCGCGGCCGTGGGGACGTGGGGACAGGCTCCCGGTGCCCTCGGTGGGGACAGCAAGGTGACACCGAGCAGCTTGGTCCCTGCAGGTCCCCATGTGCCTGCCGGCGGGCGGCGGGAGCTGCTCGGTGCACGGGGGACGGGGTGCCACGAGCACCCAGTGCCGGCACTGCTGGGCCCATGCCCTTGTTCCACCCGCCCTCGCCCGCGGCTTCGCTCGCCCTTCGCGCTCAGAAAGCAGACTGCCCCTTATTATTATTTCTTTCTGTTGCCTTTTAAGCATCGCTTTTGCGTTCTCTCAGCGTGACGTTTTGCTTCACGATGCCCCGTGTTCTGTTATGTTCTTTGTTTTTTTTTTTTCCTTTTCATTTGTCTCTCTTTCTTTTTTCTTTTCATTTGTCGTTCGTTTCCCTCCGCTCCCGACCCGGGCTGGTTTGGCTTTGCGGATAACCCCCCGCAAGGCCGCCGCGTCCGCGCCGCCCGCCAAGGCCGCCGCGCCGAGGGCCAAGGCCGCGGCCGCCAGCCCCAGGCGGCCCCTCTCCGCCGCCGCCGCCGCGCCGGGCCCTAACAAAAAGGGCAGCAGCCCCCCGGGCGGCCCCGGCGCCGCCGCCGCCGCTCCCAAGCGCCCGGCCACCGCGCGGCCCGCCGCCCCCGCGCCCAAGGAGGCCAAACCAAAGGTAAGAGCACCCAAAAAAACCCTCCCAGGGCCACCCCGCACCCGTGAGGGCCGCGGATAATCCCCCAGGACGCAGAAAATCCCTTGCTTTTCCCCACTGCTGGAGGTGATTTATTCTTTAATACACACGGGCGGAGCTCGCCGCGTTGAGGGGAGCTGCTGAGGAAGAGGATGGGGGAAGCGAGAGCTTTGGGAATGGGGTTCAGCTCCCCGTTCCTGGGAGACACGAACACAAAACGGGCGCTCCGAGCAATTTTCAGCACTGTGGAAATGTTGGTTAAAAAGAAATCGCCTGGAAACACCCTGAGCTGGATTTTAGAATATAGGAAATTTGCGGCTCTCAATCAGCGCGACAAATGAAGTAATTTTATCTTTTTTAACATCTGCTCCAAATGCATTCGACTGCTTAAAAATCAAACCCGTGTGTTTGTATCGCTCCAGCCCTTGCGTAGTAGGTAGCACTAAATATCTTGCACTGACTGGGCTATTTTTAAGACTCATAGAAATGGCCCACTTGGCTTCTTTATGAAGCAGTGTTTTCAGCTTTATTTAAGATTTTTGCGTCTTTCTAAATTCCCTTTTTTGGGAAGTGATCAGTCTCATCTCATTTGTTTTCAAGTACTGAAATCCCGGGTTAATCCAGGCGCAGGATTAACCCATGCCCATGCTTCATTCTGCCTTGGGAAAACGATTTCATGTTTGTAAACCCTTTGATCTCTCATGTCCTGGATCCTGTAAAAAGCGTCTTTCTAACCAAGAAAAAAATGAGCATTTTAGCTCTGGAAGGAAGGAGCTCCCTTCCAAAAGCATTGCTAGGGCCTGGCCTTGTGCAGGTCTGTAAATGGCCTCTGCACATTAACTTTGGAGCAGATATGAAGTCCAGTCTTCAACGGGGTCTGTGTCCTGCATTAAATATGATCAGCCATTTTTGCATATTTTAATTATATATATATACGTATTTATATATGTATATATATGTATTTCTCTTCTGCATTATATTGTTTTAAAATCACCTAGCTGGTGTGCTCAAGAAGGCAAATAATTGTGCCTTCTCAAGTAGAAAACAAATTTAAACATATTTTGGGCTTTTTGCTGTTAAATGCATCGAGGCAAGCGAGCGACGTGCTGCCTTTAACCCAGCCTCTCCCGTTGCAGGTTGCGGATGCCAAGAGCCCGGAGAAGAGGAGCTCGCTGTCCAAGCCGCCGTCGTCTGTCACCCCTCGCACCGCTGTTCGGAGCAGCCCGGCCACTCCCAGGACAACCGCGGCGTCTCCGGTCGCTGCAGCGCCCGGCGTGAAAACCATTGCTGCTTCTCCGCCCAAGAGGCCCACGTGTGAGTCTCTGCTTGGTCCTCTTCTCCTAAGCAGCTGGGGTTTGGGGTGAGCAGCACGGGGGGCTCCCATGAAGCTGTAGTTCCTATCTTGATGTCTCCCCATGGTCCCATCAGCTTGTCCAAATCAGTCTCCCAATAAAGTCTCCAAATCTTTTGGAGATCTTCCACTGAAAACCAAGCGTTGAAGTGGAGGCACTTGGGAGGAGAGCGAGCTGCTCTGCAGCTCTTTTCTCCAGAGGGCTTCCTCTGCCAAAAAGGGAGCCTGAATGACCTTCACATCAGCTTGGCTTTCCAGCTGACCACGCGGTCTTGCAATAGCAATGTGGCATTCAAGGCTGATGTACTTAAGGGACATACTCAGTAAAATTTAAAGAATAAAGGGAGCTGCTAAGTATGAACTTTGTAATGATAATAGTTAGAGTAAGCACTTGAAGACAATTCCAAATGTGAGGAGAACAAATCTACAGAATGGAACTTGGAGAGTTCAATCTAGCACACTCCAAAGAAGGTAGAACTGATGTGGAGGACATGCTTGAAAGCTTTGAACGCCGTGACTTGCCAGTCTGGCAGAAGAACAGCTGGCAGATGATAAGTAAGTTAGTCATTGCAGCTGTTAATCCAGGAATTGGGTAAATCCGGTTTGTTTTGGTGTGTTCCCAGCTGGATGCATGATGTTCAGGGATGTGTACCACCTCACCTGTAACTCCATACTCCTGTAGCTTGTTCTTTGTACTGCAGCTGGGAAAGGAAAGTGTACATTTTAGGCTTCAAAAAGACTGCACTTGCTGTTTCTTTGATAACACTTTCCACACTTAGACCTGGAGTAAAGCTAGAATTAAACAACATTCAGGTGAAAAGACACTGGCTTGTCTTTTAGATAAGCTAGGATGTTTATGGGGTTGAGCTATGCCTTTACTTTCACAGAACCCCAGAACCCCAGAATGGTTGAGGGTGGCAGGGACCTCTGGAGCTCCCCCAGCACAGCCCCTGCTCCACAGGGACACCCAGAGCACGGGGCACCCGGTGGCACCCGGGCGGCTTGGGGAGATGCCCAGAGCAGGAGCCTCCGCAGCCTCCCTGGGCAGCCTGGGCCAGGGCTCGGGCACCTCCCAGTGCAGCAGCTCTTCCTCCCGTGGAGATGGGACCTGCTGGGTGTCACCTTGTCCCCACTGCCCCTTGGCCTGCCACTGGCCACCACCGAGAAGAGCTTGGCTTGGTTAGTCAGTTATTAAGGTTTGCCAGACCTGGGCGCCTTGGTGGGTTTGTTCTCAGGCTCCCAAAGCCCAGATTCATAACCCGTCTTTCCCAGGAGAACAGTGCCCGTGTGTTAATGATGCTGAAATGCCCTGGGCTGGATACATATCCCGTAGTTTATGCTTTAGAGGGAAATACAATTAATCCTGCATGGGGGAAGTTGCTCTTCCCAAGAGCCATGCACCTCAGCTCATCCCAGGGACCTCCTTGCACGGTTTGTTCTGTGCTGTCCTCCATGCAAGCTGGGGCCCGGGGTGCCCCACGCACTTTAATGAGTTCAATTAAGTTAATTTCGCCTTCCAAAACTGAGGCCCGGACAAAGGAGAAAGTGCTTTCTGGTGGCATTTGAAAGGAGATGGAGTTAATGATGCAGAGATCCCAGAAGCTTGTTCCAAGCAGCAAGATGCAGAGAGGAAGAGGCTTCTCCCCCAGCCGGCTGGGACATTGGCAGAGGACAGTGGGGAGGCCGGTGGAGATGAGGTCAGCTGGCGAAATCCCACCGACAAAATCCCATCGGGAGCCCAGGCAGCTCTGGGAACGCCAAGGGGAGCTGAGAACGGCAGGAGAGGAGTCGTGTTTTGAAGACGAAGGAGCAAGGGTGCAACGGAGGGGTCTTCCAAGCTGCCCGGAGCCGGGGCGGCTGTGACGCCCATGGGGAAGCAAGGTGGGCCAAACATCAACACGATAGATGAGGTGGAACAGGAGTCACATCAGGAGTCACATCAGGAGTAATACACGGACGTGGCTGCTGCCTGGCATGAGCAGATGTAGCTGCATCTCATTGCACATCTAAGGACCATATCAGTCCTTTCAGCTTCATAAAACCCAAGTACCTTCCATCCGTGCAATGAGTCTTCTCCACTAAACTTGCAGTCTTACACAGTAAGATTAGATCTGTTTGAGAGGACCTATTTTTAAAGTGTTTGGTATTAGTTAGCTGTCTATCTATCCTTCAGGACTGATGGAATTACCCCAAGTCAACTTTTGCTTCATCTCATTAGCTAGTGTCTCAGCTGGGGGCTTTAACAGTGCTCTGAGCGCCGGCCAGGGACATCCCACCCTGATTTGGCCTCTACTTCTGCTTTTTGCTCTTCTTTATCCCGGAATCTCACACATCTGCATTCAGCTGCTTTAGCTTATCTAAATTTCTAAGGTTGTTCCTTCCTTAGGTTGTCGCCTGCCTGTGTGGAACATAGTCGGGTCACTGGTGTCTTCCCAAAGACGTGGTTTTGGTTCAGTGATTTTTAGTGTTGCACAGTTAGGGTAGAGGCCAAAATACGGGCAATAGCTTCTGTGTGAGGGAGATGAGCGTGGGCTTAGACTTGCAACGGGACCCAGGCTGTACATAGACAAAGGTGGTTTTCATGTTGCAGTTTGGTAAAGAGAGGCCATAAACTGCTTCAAGAAACGGACTTGGGGCAGGACTAAAACAGCACTAGGGGAAGCGCTTTCAGATCGAGGAGGTGGTTTTAACTAAAAGGCAGCTGCAAAAGCAGCTGCCCTGCAGCTTCCCCTCGGCCTTCGCAGGCCGGGGGCAGCGTTTGGGCGAGCGGCACGCTCGGGAGATGCCCTCAAACCCCGCGCCGCGCTGCTCATCCCCAACCTGTCTCTTCTCTCGGGGGCAGCTATCAAGACAGACGCGAAGCCTGCAGATGCCAAGAAGACCGCCGCGAAGCCGCCGGCAGGTAATACTGTCATGCTTTTGGTCTAAATCAGCCCTTTGGGGCCGCTGGCCGCGGGCAGGGCACCGGGAAGGTGGCATGGGAGCCTCTGACCTCTCTTCTCCCCTCCCTGTGCCCGCGCAGCAGACGCGGGGCGCCCGAAGAGCGCGTCGGGCGGCGCCAAGAGCAGCGCCGCGTCGCCCTCGGCGCCCGCCGGCAGCTCGCCCAGCGTGCCCGCCGCGCGCCCCAAGCCCAAGGCGCCCACCACCAAGCCCGCCGCGGGCACCACCACCACCACCGCCGCGGCACCGGCCGATGCCAGGAAGGCGGCCGCCAAGGCGCCGCCGAAGGCCGGCCCCGCCGCCAAGCCGCCGCGTCCCGCCGGCAGCGTTTCCGCCCCGGACCTGAAGAACGTGCGCTCCAAAATCGGGTCCACGGATAACATCAAGCATCAGCCCGGCGGGGGCAAGGTGAGTCGGCGCCGGCCCGAAGGCCGCTGTGTTTGGGGGCTCCCTCCCGGGCATTGCGGGTGCCCCTTGCTCCTTTCGGTGGCTGGGTGCTCACGGCTGGCTCGTCTTGGCGCTCTGCAGGGCTCCTCCTTGGGTTCTCGGTGGGCGCACAAGGCATTAACGGCACGGTGACGCTCGTGGGCAGAAGGAAGCCGCTGTCAGAGCCTCCCTGGTGTTCCCTGTGTGCAGGAATCCACACCCCTGGTTCTGTTTCCCTGCCGGGAGAGAAACCAGTTGGTTTGGGAATCCTAGAATCCTTATGGTTGGAAAGGACCTTCCGCATCACCAACCATAAACCGGTCACCGTCATGCCTGCTAAACCATGTCCCTGAGTGCCTCATCTGCACGTTCAAACCTCGTTACTCCAAAATGTTGCCTGGGAACGGAGGGATTGAGCCTGCTCAAGGCTCAAATTGGGCTTCAAAAACTGAGCTTAAACTCCCATTTCATTACGAATGTCTGGCATGTAGATGATAGAGGTTCAGAGCACCCCTCTGAGGTTTCAAAGCCATCTCGTAGGTACGTGCAAGCCCGAAACCTTTCTTGGGTGTTGTACAACAGGTTGACCCATCCAGTAAACTGGACGTGCTAGCAGCTTGCTCGTCGAAGGGCTTGAATTCCCACGGCATGGAACAAATTTGCCCACTTATCTTTCCTGCAGATGTCCTGGAGCGACTAACCCAGCCCGTAACTTTAATCGGCTGGCCGGGAGAGCACACTTCATGCTGAGAGCTTAAGCTCTTCGTAGGCATATTAAAGCGAAGGGTATTCTTGCTGCGTGTCACAGCATCGATGCACGCAGGGAATTTAGCCTTAAAATTTAAAAAATGCCTTATTAAGGGCTCGGATGAGGTCATAATGTGGTCCTCAGAGCTTAGCAGCCCTGAAGACAACCTTCCCCTCCTCAAAAGGCCTCTCTGGAAGAGAGGAACCAAACGTGCTGAGAGCTTTGGGAAGCCAGGAGCAGAGCGAGCCTTTCCAATACGATATAGTGCGACTTGAACACGAATTGAAGCTCCCAAATCCGGCGGCCATCTGCTCCGAAGCGAGCACGTGAAGCTGCTCTCCTTTTGCAAACCGGGCTTTGAAGGATTGCAGAGCTTTTTAGCTTATTGCGTCAGCTTAAGGGAAATAATTATTGCATTGATTTCCACTGTCCTGCATTTTGTGTTCGTTTTTGATAGAAGTGCTAAAGCCTAGCTATGCGTTGGAAGGGAAATACTGTCCTTTGGAGCCTTTAAAGCTGCCCTACAAAAGCTAGGATGTGCTCAGAGTTTGGGACCCCGGCTTAGGAGCACTGAGGGGCTCTTGTTTGATGTTTAAGGTAGGGTGGGGAAATACGGGGTTTATGCTGACCCCAAAACCCAGGTTCTTCTGCACTTGGTTGGATCTAGGTTAGAATGAATGTTCTCAGCTAGCCCCTGAGTTTTTCTAAAACCTGCAATTTCCCTGTTTTTCCCATTGTCTGGAAATTCCCATCCCCTCTTCTGCTTTGGTGGGTTAATTAGGCCCACCTGCATTTGACTGCTTAAAAATAAATAACTGAATAACTGAATAACTGAATAACTGAATAACTGAATAACTAAATAACTAAATAAAGAGTGTTGGTGGAAGCAGAGCCCTGGCACAAAGAGCCAGAGGCCATGGGCCAGGAGACACGTTGGCCACCAAGGACCTTGCAGCATCTGCAGCATGGAGGGGAGGGTCGGCCCTGCTGATGGATGGGGTTCCTTGGGATCCTCTTTCCCATGGGATGCAGCGTGCTGTGTTCACAGGAGAGCTGCCGTGGTCACTACCAGGCAAGTCCGTGATGAAGGGCCACCTCAAACATGTGGAGATGTTGGGTTTTCCGTAGCCCTTGCCTTGGGGACCCCGGGGAGCCCGTGGGGCTCCGCGTCCCGCTGTTCCTGCCTCGCTCCCGTTCCAGCTGCCCTGGCCGGACAGCGGAGCCCGGGGAAGTCCTCTCCTGGCCCCGCTGCTGCTGGCGCTGCTTGAAACCATCCGTTTGTCTCCATCCAGGGGAATGTAGAGAAAAAGCCGGAGCCGGCGGCTGCGGCGCGGAAGCCTGAACCCAATGCGGGCTCTAAAATGGCTCCTGCTAGAGCAGCCCTAACAAAAGAGGGGGCCCCCAAGCAGCCCAATGGGAAAGTGAGTTCGTTTGCGACTTCTCTCTGCGGCCCGTGCAGGAAACGTCCTCTTTTTTGGGGCACTTTCCCTTCTCTTCACTCTCCCGCTGTCACTGTCCCTCGCACGGCCACCTCTCTATGTTCTTCTCGTGGTGCTCTCCATGAAGGCTGGTGAGGGGTGATCCCATGGGAGAGCTCTCTCCGACGCCCGGCGGGAGCGGTTCCAGCGCCCACTTGGGCCGGACCGTCCCTCTGGGAGCAGCGCTTGCCACGCGCCCCAAGGGGGTCCCTGGAGGTCCCCCCGCGGGGGACACGCGGGTCGGAGCTGCTCCCTTTCCCTGAGGATGCAGCAGGGTGGCACTGCAGCTTCCCCAGCTCTTTTCCCAGCATAGAGGGATCAGGGTCCATGCCGTGGGGATGGGGGTGAGTTCTGGTGGGTCCTTTGAGCCGTCACCTCCTTCTGAGCCGCCCAGGATGCAGCTCCCGCCCCCATTCCTGCTGTGCTCGGTACCCCCAACTAAGCCCTCGTTGTGACTAACCCCGTGTCCGCGCGGACCCGCTGCTCACAAGCCCAGAATCCCACAACGTTCAAGGTCGGAAGGGACCTCTAGAGACCATCTAGTCCAGCCTTCCCGCTCAAGCAGGCACACCTAGAGCACGGGCACGGGTTTAGCTGCTCCCGGGCAGTTAAACCACCTCTGCGAGGAGGAGGCAGCCCGTTGAGCAGCGCTTTGGGCTGCAGGGAGAAACAGGCCCCTGTTTAATGAACGTTGGGCTGGCTCTGCTAAAAGGCACCCGCAGGCTCGACAGCCTTCAGCAGAGAAGCTGTTTCTCCGATAGGGCTTTGCTGTCCGCAGGTTTCAGACGTTACCCAAGACCACAGTCAGTGGAGATATGGTGGTTTAAAATGCAGAGAATGACCAACCAGTGGGTTTGTTAGCAGCAGGGACCCTGTGGTTTGGGATCTATGGGGGGCAGAGGCAGCTGAGCCCGTTGGGGGTCCAACCCATGGCTGGGCAGCTCCAAGGACTCTTCCCTGCTTCCCGTTTTCCCATGGGAGAGGCTTGGAGCGGGGCCGCCGTGGCGCGGCGCCGCTCCTCACCGCAGCGCTTAGGCTCGCGCACTAACCCCGTCTGTCTCCTTCCCCTGCTCTCCCGCTCCCGCTCTCCCGCCCGGGCGGCCCTGGCATGGAGCCGAACACGGCGGCCGCCCCAGCCGCCCCACGCCACTTCTAACCACTCCTCTTCCCTTGTGTTCTCCGTTCTCTAACCCTCCAGGTCCAGATAGTCTCCAAAAAAGCGAACTACAGCCATGTTCAGTCCAAGTGTGGGTCCAAGGACAATATTAAGCATGTCCCTGGAGGTGGGAATGTAAGTATGGGCTCGGGGCAAGCTCTCCGTCCACTAACTCCTTTCCTTGTGCCGTGTGTTGATCTGTGCGTCCTCGTGCTCGGTTGGGTTGGAGGCAGACGGACTGCAGGGCTGCTAGGACCACTCTCCAGATGGGGCCTCTTTCTCCCATGGCTTCCATGGTGCTCCTTGATCCAGCGTTAGGTGTCCACATTGACCCCAGGAATTAGTTCACCCCAAATTCTCCTGAATGAGGGTGAAGCCAGTTGTGTCCTAGCGGCACCCATAGCTCTTGCAGGCCTGAGGCCAGATTAATTTCCCTTCTTGTTTCGTAAGGAGGGAGACGTTGAAGAAGGAGGCGGCAAATACTGGGGCCCTTAATCTTTGAGCTGTGATTAATTTCTAAATTTAAAGGCTGCCAGTGTTGCTGGCAACCGAGTTGAGCTTATTAAGATAGACAGCTAATCCTGTGATGGCTGTGGCCATGATTCGGAGCATTAGGTTCTGAAGAAGCTTTTTAAGTTGCATATAAAGTTGGATACCGAAGGTTTTGAGATACCAAAGCTTTTGAGGAAACAAGCTTGGCTTGTGGTGTGCAGGAACTCCGTTTTTGGGGCCGGCTTTGTGGTCCTTCAGCAAGGTCCCGTAGTCGTGTGGGCCGGAGGCTGCTGTGTAGGACAGGCCCGTGGTGCCCTTTTCCCGGGACACGGCTGTGCCCTTGTCCCTGGCTGACCACCCCTTCCCGAAAGCCTTCGCAGAGGCCACTGACGCCCCTCGTGGGCTCCCGACCCTGCTTGTTCTTCCAGCTCGCCGCAGAAAGCTCACGCTCACCAGCAGTGCCCTTTACCGTTCCCATCGACCTCCCTACCGCTTACGGGGCACGTATGGAGCTATATGGAGCTTCCCTTGGCAGTGCCCAAACGGGCAGCTTTGCAGTGCAGAGGGCAGAGCCGCGGCTGCCCTCAGGGTGCTATTAGCACCCTCAGGGTGCTGTTTCTCTAGCTATGCACACCCATACCTGCAGTGCATTGCAGATCTCATCACCCAAATAGTTATAGCTAATAAGGTTTGGGTTTTATTTCCTTTTATTTTTATATATTTTTTGTGGCGGCTGCAATTGCTGCAGCTGAAGCATTCACGCACTTAAAGGAGTTTGATTTTATAATCCACTTTTACCGCTCTTATCTTGGACGGTCTTTTCATGGGCAGCAGGTCTCAATGCACTCTGCCTTTTTTGGGGGTCTCCTTTCAATATACGTCAAATATGGGCGCGTTTGCCTTGCTATATTAACGGCATTAATGACCTGTAATTTCTTGCAATCGTTCCCCAGACCTGTCCCTTCCCCCTGGCGCTTTGCTGTCCTCCTGTCCCGCCCTGGGGACACTCCCAGCTCTAGGGGACGGGGCTCTGGGCCACTTGATCCTCCTCCTCCTCCTCCACGCTCTCAGCTTCTCCTCGCTCCACTACTCCAACTTCCTTCTCCTTGAAGAAGAGAGAGTAAAGTGCTTATTGTTTCCAGGTTCCAAATGCCCCCAAAGCAGCCTCAGACAGTCGTCCCCAGCTCTCCAACGCCCCCAAACCCAGCCCAGGCAGTGCCCATGTGAGTAGAAGAGCCGCGGGGGCCGCTCCGCCTCGCTGCAGCGGCGGTTCCTCGCGTTCCTTCGGTGCCCACGCCGTGGCTTTGGGGCGCCGCGGGGCTGGTGGCCTCGCCACGGGGTGTCCCTGGGGAGGACGTTCCTGCGGCACGCTCGCCACGGCGGCGGCTGAAGGACGAGTCCTTCAGGGCAGGCCCTGGCTTCAGCCCACGTGGTTAGGGGTCGTAGGGACAAGAGCTGTGCTCGGCAAGAAGCTGCTTCAGCACCAGGGTTGCTCTGGCACAAGGGATTGACATCTTTTTTACCCACGTGGATTAATTGCTGCCCCTTGGGTAGGTTCCCCATGAGCGGTCGATGTTGTTGCTCCTTCCATTATATTTGATGGGAACATCTCGACACAAACATCATCAGAATTCAAGCCCAAAAGCTCTGGTTACAGAATCCCAGAAGGGTTGAGATTGGAAGGGACCTCTGAAGATCATCTAGTCCCAGCCCTGCTCCAGGAGGGACTCCCAGAGCACAGGGTGGCGTCCTGCCCGGCGTGCCAAAGCTTAGCCCGGCAAAGCCTGACCCACTGGCTTCTGGTGGTCATGGCAAGCCTGGGTGAACCTGAGCTGCCCGGCCTAACGTCAGGCTGAGCCCGAATCTGGCTGCGAGCGGTGACCCGAGGAGCTCCAGGAGTTCCCTCCAACCTCAGCTGCCCTGTGGTTGTAGGAAGCATCAGCAGGAGCTCAAAAATGAGAGAAGTCCTCCCTGCAGTGCCCTCAGGCCAAGTGTCAGGGAGAAAATCTGGTGTTTTTGAGGAAAAGGCTTAAAATCGTTGACATTTTGGCTTGGTCCCACCCCGAAGAAGGCACTTCTATCCCCATTCAAGCTGTTGTCCACAAACACCACGCTAGAACATTTGGCTCATTGTTGGCTTGGAAAAAAAAGCCCTTCCTGAGTCACAAGTAGCGCGATGTGATGATTGCAGCGCTCTGTGCTTTTCATAGAAGGGTCTCTGTGCCAGGATGGGCTCCCTGGCAGAACGCAATGGAAATAACACAAGGACGCAGTGTCCTCCCTGCCAGGGCTTGGGCTTTGAGGACGCACAAGGGGAGCTTGTGAAGGCACTTGCTCCATCTGGGCGGGATGAGTCTGGCTGGTGTCCTCTCCTGGGTAGGAAGGAGCATGGCGAGGAGGTGCTGGATGCTGTTAATAGTCACACCGGGGCTGTTAATAGTCACTCCTGGGTCGGGCGTGGGGTGACGTCCCATGCCCATCCCTCCGGGATCTGGTGCTGCCAGCACAGAGCTGGCCCTGGGGTGGCATTCTGGGCTACAAGGCACCACAGTTGGCTTTCGGGCTGCTCTTGCAGGGTGTCCGGTCCGTGGATGTGGCAGGAACTCGAGCCTCCCCGTTCTGGTCGCTCTCCATCTCTGCTGCCTCCGTCCGGGCTCGGTTGCTCTCCGCTCGCATTAACCACTTGCTGGTGCAGGCCTTCAAATACTCGTAAAGCACAAATAAATACCACAGCATTCGGTGTCCAATAACCAGGAAAACAGCAGGGAGAAAGTATTCAAAGAAGGGGCACAAATGCAGAAGCCTGACCTGATACTGAGGTGGCCTCCAGCTTCTCCGATGTTTCTTTGCACTGAGTTGTTCCCTTTTCGTCTCTTCAGGTGCAGATCCAGAACAAGAAAGTCGACCTTTCCAAAGTGTCCTCCAAGTGTGGCTCGAAAGCGAATATCAAGCATAAACCAGGTAGAAATGTCTCCATCTTCTACTGACTTGTCTGTGAATACCGCGAGCCGCTCGTTTATTGTCCGGGGTTGTGACTGCACTGGGATGGGATGCTGCTTTTGGAGAGGGCTTCATGGAGACCCGTCCCGAGGGGTTTCCTGAGGGGATCCCTGGCGTTTTGTGCTCGGCTTTGGAGCAAATGCAAGGGACTTTTTAGCCTATAGCTCTGGATCGACTGTAGTCATATTTAAAACTTTGGTTCTTTAATGACATGGTGTGGAACGGGCATGCAGGAGCTCACTGCTCCTGCAGGGCATGGAGCAGATATCTGCACCTGCTGCCACAGATGTCCCGTTTGCCACCCGTGGGAGCAGCACCCATGGGTGCCGCTGCGGGACCCCCCCGCCTGGGGCCTTTGCGGGTGGCTCTGGGGGAGAGGCCCCGGCGCGGCGGGCGCGGGCGGCGCGCGGTGCCCGCGAGGCTCCTGCGTCGCAGGCAGCTCCGCCTGGGGCACGAAGCGCGCGGGGCAGCGACTGCGGGGCGCTTGGGCACCGCGGTGCCACCCGCACGCCCGTGCCCTCGTTCAAGGCATGCCGTGCGGGACGGTGAGCGCCCTTGTGCGGGCCTGGCGAAGGCAGAGTTACCCGTCCAGAATTACCTGCTGTCTCCTGCTCGAGCAACTCGGGGTGGGATCCACCAGCAGCTCCTCGAGGGGCTGCAGAAGGGGCCGGGGATGAGCTGGGATGGGGGGGAAGCCCTGGTGTGACGCCGCGGCAAGCAGGGCTCTCGGGGGCCGCTGCGCCCCGCTCGGCACCAAACCCGCTCCTCTCGTTGCAGGGGGAGGAGACGTCAAAATCGAGAACCAGAAGCTGAACTTCAAGGAGAAGGCGCAGGCGAAGGTGGGGTCCCTGGACAGCGTGGGACACGTGGCGGCAGCAGGAGCGGCCAAGGTGCGTGCGGGACGTGCGGGGCATCGGGGCGGCTGCTCCTCGCGCTGCTGCCCCTCAGCCCCGGGGGCTCTGCGCTGAGCCCCTGCAACGGGGCTGAGCTGAGAGGGGCCCGACCGTCCTCGGGGCTGGCGGGGTTGCTGCTCGTGCCCCTCCTGCAGCAGGAATAACCGACCCCGGCACCGGGGCTGCTGCTTGCAGTGACGCTGCTCCGGAGCTGGGACAGCCGGCTTGCAGCGTCGGCACCGGGAAACGGCGCTCAGCCTCAACGGGTGTTCAGTGTGTGTTTCTCACCCTGGTTAAGGCAAGAGGTGACGGCCGCGGGTGTTGGGGACAGCCCGGGGCTCTCCCGCCTCCAGTCCCCTGTGCAGAGCCGGGCTCGGCCCACGGGGGATGAGGGTAGCGCGGCGCTGGGCGGGATGGGCAGCACTGGTCGGTGCCCCCTGTTATCTCTCAGGATTAACGGGATGAGGGTAGCGCGGTGCTGGGCGGGATGGGCAGCGCCCGTCGGTGCCCCCGTTATCCTGGCAGAGGGTGGCGGCTGTGCTGGGCGCTGCCCGTGGTTGTCCCGGCAGCGTCCGGCCTGCGCTGAGAGCAGGAGCTCCTTGCTGGTGACGGGGATTCCTTGAGGTTCCTTGGCGGGGACAGGGCTGTGTTCACCCTCTCCATGGCGCAGGGTTTGCAGCCGTCCTCACGCAGGACGATGCCAGGGCTCGAGATAACAGGGGCTGAGGTTGGCCGAGGTTGGCAGGGTCGCCTGGAGCAGGTTGCGCGTTGGGTGCGGGGCGTCTCCCCTGGCCACGGAGGGCCGGGGGGGNCCGGCGGCGGCGCCGGGCACGGAGGCGCCGCGCGAGAACGGCGTGGGGCCGGCGGCGGGCGAGCCGCGCGACGCGCAGCCCTTCGAGAGCCGCATCCAAGAGACAAGTAAGTGCGGGCGCGCGGCGGCGGCTCGGGGCGCGGCGCCCGCCGGGGCTGCGCAACCCGCGACGCGGCACAAACCGCCTTTTATCTTCCAGGCATCTAACGCTGCCCTTCTGGTGTCGCCCCCTCCCGCCCCCCCGCCCCTGCCCTTGTGTCGCTGCAGATTGAGCGCCGCGGGCGCCGGGCCCAGCCGGCCGGGCCTCGGACGCACCGGAGCGGAGCGGACGGCGGCGCCTCCCCCAGCACCCGCCGGCAGCGGCGGCTCCCGGCGCTCCCGCCGCCTCCTCCCTCCTTCCCCGCTCCTTCCTCCCGCTCCTTCCTCCGCTTGGGCCCCCGCTGCGGCCGGGGCCCCTCCGCGCGCCCTCGCCCCGGCTCCCCTCCCGCCGCGGCGGCGCCGGCGCGCGCCGCTGCCGCCCGCTTCCTACTGACATATCCAGCAAGCGTAACTATGTACTTCTTTTGTCGTCGTTTCGTTTTCTTTTTTTTTTTTCTGTTATTTTTTTTTTTAAATATTTTAAAATGACGGAGCAAACTCGTGGGATTTAAGCCATGTCGGGAAGGGAAGGCGCGGGGAGGTGCGGAAGGGAGCGCAGAGGGAGGCGCGCGGGGCCGGACCCGGCGGGTCCCCCCGGCCGGGCCGGAGGCCCCGAGAGGCAGGAGGCGGCGGAGGCCGCGGCGGAGGCCGAGGCGGAGGCCGAGGTGCGGGGGGCTTAGCGCCCGCCCGGGCTCTGGGCTCCTTGTTTCGTGTTGCGAATGACACTAAAGAGGCGAAATGTAAATAAAAAAAAAAAAAAAAAAAAAAAAAAAAAAAAAAAGAGATTGCTGGATAACCAACAACTCTTCTGCAGTTCTCGTTACTGAAACGGGACAGGAGCTCTGCCTTCAGCACGTTTGATGATGGGTTTTTTTTTAAGGTTTTAAGGGGTTTTAAGAAAAAACTTAATAAAAATATTAAAAAAAAAAAAAAAAAAAAAAAAATGTAAATAAAAAAAAAAAAAAAAGAGAAAAAAAGGAAAAAAAAAAAAGGAAAAAAGGAGTTTTTTTGGGTCGTCAAACTAATTTAAAGCAAAAAGCCGAGTGCCGAAACACTGGGATCAAGCGGCGGCGCTGGGGGCGGCTCGGAGCAGGGGCGGCGGGAAGCCGGACGCTTCCCGCGCTGGCGGGGAGCTCGCGGGGCAGCCGAGAGCGACACGCTACCCCCACCCTGTATTTACACACAAAGACTCTTATTGCACTTGTATTTTTTATATTAAAGTTTGCATGGTTTCTAATAAAATGGCATTAAACCGTACTAGTTTGCATCCACGTCGTCTGCTAGTTTCATACGTGCTTTGGTCCTCCCCTCCCGCAGCCCGAGGGCAGCGAGCGATGCAGAGGGGCGCCCGCCCGGCGCCGTCCGCCACATCCCCGCGCCCCCCGTGCTGCCTCCCACCCCGCTCCTCCTCCTGTCCCCGCTGTGCCCGTGTCACTGTCCCGCTGTGCCGGTGTCACTGTCCCGCTGTGTGTCCCTGTCCTGCTGTGTGTCACCGCCTCGCGCAGCCGCAGCCGCCGCAGCAGCCGCAGCCGCCGCAGCAGCCGCAGCCCGAGCGTCGCCGCCGGGAGAGCAGGTGGAGGGCGAGGAAGGGCCGGCGCCTCCGGCCCGCGCAGCGGACGGCGCCCGGCTGCTGTGCCACGTCTCCACCGCGCCTTGTGCCTGTGTGCCCACCACTAACTGCAGCCCCGCTGCTCTGCTTGCCGTAGGCTCCTCTCCTCTCTGCCTAGGATGGGCTCGGTTTTAGGACGCAGTTTTAAGTTGTGTTGAAGGAAGCAGCTGTGTACGTAGCGCTGGCGGCAATGGCTGTGGCTTCCAGGCCGGAGCGACGGGACGAGGGCGGCCGGGCCGGGGGCTCCGCGGAGCCCCGGGAAGGAGCCGGGCGCCGCGGCGGCCCCGGCGGCACCGGCGCTTTGGTGCCACGTCAGAGCGGGGCTTTGGGGCGCCCGGCTCCCTCCTGCCGCCTGAATGTAGCTCCCCGCGCCGCGCGGTGCGGAAAGCGGGCTCTCAATGTGAAGTGTTATTATTATTATTATAATTATTAGTATTATTTTGTGTCACGGGGAGTTGCGCGGGGCCGGCGCCCGCGGCCCGGCTGCTTCTGCCTTCCTGTTGCCCCCGCCCCGCCGGGGCCGTAGGACTTGTCGCCTTTAGCCAAACCCACCCCGCAACCCCCGCCCCGAGTTGATGTTGTGATTCTGCCTCTTGTCAAGGCTTGAAATAAAAACTTCTCGATGTTCCGCCTGTGCCTGCTGCCCCTTTGTGCGGGATCGGGGAGCGGGGCGGGCGGGGGGCACCAGCGCCCGGACCCCGCGGGGACCCAAGGCCCAGGAGGAGCCCAGGGCCCTGCGCAGACCCGGGCGCCGCTCTGGGCGCTGCCTCGTCCTGCACAGGGCCACCAGCAGTCCCCAGCTCCTCTGAGCAGCCCCCGGTCCCTTCAGGAGCCCCTGGCCCCTCGGAGCAGCCCCTGGCCCCTCCGAGCGCCCCCAGTCCCTCCAGGAGCCCCCGGGCTCTCCAAGGAGCTCCGGCCCCTTGTGCAGCCCCTGGCCCTTCCAGGAGCCCCCAGTCCCTCCAGGAGCCCCCAGTCCCTCCAGGAGCCCCCGACCCTCCAAAGAGTCTCTGGTCCCTCCAGGAGCCCCTGGTCCCTCCATGGAGCCCCCGACCCCCGTCCTGGTGCCCAGGTCACTTCGGCCCTCGCTCCCGCCCCCGGCTCACCCACCACCCCCAGAAAGAAAGAAGGGGCCACAGGCGGTTACTACTCTATCCCTTTTTATTGTCTTTAATCTAGCTTGTAAAAAGATCCAGTATCACATAACAGCCACTGAAGTATCCCAATATCACACTAGTTCGGAACCATTTAGACAATAGTTTAGTCTCGGGGATTTTTTTTCCTTTTTTTTTTTTCTTTTTTTTTTTTTTTTAACCTGTTGGGAGAAGAAAAAAAAAGAAAAAAAAAAAGAAATCGGTTCTGCCCTTTATACAGGCCCAACGAAAGAAACAAACACTGGTCAAATAATAGTGACAACCTCAAGCAAGTGAAATGCAGCTGGGAAGGGGGAGGCCGGGGCCGCCGCCTGAGGCCGCCGCAGCTCGTGACGTGCGAGGCCGAGGGCGGCCGCGCGGCCAGGGCCGGCCCCGCCGCCCCATTTCATATACAAAGAGCATAGGAAACGGCGGCTAAAAACAAGCGGCGGGCTCCCACCAGCCCCGCGGGGCGGGCGGCGCCGCCGCGTGGTCCCTGGCGGGGGAGGGGCGGGCAACGGGGACTACTTCCCCTCGCGCGCGCCCGCGGGCGGAGGGATCCTGCGCGACGTGCGCTGTGAGGCGACCGGCGCGCGCCACGTGGCCGCCGCTTCCCCCCGCCCCCCGCAACCGCGGGGCACGCTGGGAAATGTAGTCCTGGGGGGGAATCCTCAGCGGGGAACGCTGGGAAATGTAGTCCGGGGTGGGTG